CTTATTGTTGCTATCAGAGACAGGACTGGGCTAATCGCACAGGGAGGAGAGCAGACATTCGATGACCCACAGAAGGCGTGAGAGGAGTAAAACTAGCGACTAGTGGAACAGGGGAAGCGAATGAGAGAAAGAGAGCAAGAAGGAGTAGAGTAACTTTTGCCTCCTCCCTCCTTTTTTTTTCGCCGCTTCCCTCTTCGGCTGCTGTCGATTCCCTCCGTTCCACATTTTTATTTTATTTTTTTCTTGTGTGGTGTCATGATGTGGTTGAAAACATTGTTTACATATCGCTGCCCTAACCCCGTTTTGTTCGTTCATTTCCTGGCGGGAAGGGAAAATATTGGGGAAGTGAAGGCATGAAAAGGGCAACGGGGGGATGAACCAGACGAATACAGCCGCAGAATAGTAATCCCGGTGCCGGACGAGCTCTCAATATTCCTTCAAAAGATGCAGCAGCATCAAACAGAATTCGTCGTAGTGCAGTTTCCCGCGAGCCCTGTATGCATAATGACTCATCACCTCAGATGTACGCTTCTTGAGCATTTCTTCCCACATGGTCTTCTTCTGTTCATTGTGACGGCGAATCAGAGCCTGAAGTGGGGTGAGTCCTTCCGTCGCAGCCTCTTTTCCTTCCGTTTCCTGCTTCCTTGACGATCCCGTCGCAGAATTGTTGGACAAGGCAACATCAGCGGCAGTATTGGCAGCGGCAGCAGTAGAAACAGCTCCGTGCGCGTCTGAAGAGTTCCGACTGCTCGCAGTACTTCTGAAAATGCCTGCGCCTACCGCCTGCCGGTACTCGTCCATTAGGCGCATTGTTCCATCTCGGTCCTCGTAGAGACCCAAGGGGTCCAGCTGGCTGAGCACCATGCATACTTCTCGCTCCGTGATGAAGCCATCATGATTGGTGTCCAATGACTCGAAAAGCGTTTGTGCCACTCTTTCATTGACTGTGCCGAGCTCTGTCAAGAAATTGAAAAGGAGGTCCTTTTGAAACACCGTTGCCGCAGGTCGGTGCGGTGACATGGAGTTCCGTGCCTCGGACGGCACCTTCGCCGCCGTCTCGCGTTCCGCTGGATTAGGACTCAAAGTACGTCCACCACCAGGGGAGAAGAACGGCACATGCTCCGACTTCTCCATGCCCACCTCACAGCTGTCTCCGACGACCGGGGATGATTTGCTCACCTCTGTCGGAATACCCTTTGGAAGCGTTGTGGCTGTTGTGCGGCGTGGCTGTCTGGGTGCCAAATTTTCAGAAGCTGACATTTCGCTCGCGGTGCCCAACGAGAGACGATGTGCTGCTGCAGCGGCCACGGCTGACGACCCGGCCGCATCCGCAATCAACTGTGAGTTGATCATCAGTTGATGCTTAAGTTCACAGCGCTCACGCAGCCAGGCATTGATGGCCTTCTCGAGTACCCGCATTGCCTCGTCCCGCGGAATCTGCTCACGCCTTTGCGCAGCCCATTGGCAGTACTCATTTTCGGTCTCGTTAAATTCCTTCTCAGACCCAAACTCAATGCGGCGCTCAGGGACGGCAAATACCGTCGAGAGAAGATAGTCCTCCAAGGCCGTAGCCGTGCATGTGACGTACAATTCCCAAAACTGCTGAATATCGCGGTACATTGGGTTGTCGATTGCCCTTTCTCTTCCGCCCGGTGGAACGTCGATGTCCACGGTGAATTTTGCACAAATGTCTAAGAAACATCGGTGGGGGTTTTTGGAGACGGCTGTAACAGTGACGAAGGTGGAGGCGTTCAGCAGGCGCCTTGTCCCCTCCACGCCAAACGGCGAGCGGTGGGCCTCCTCCAGGTCACATGGGACGTAGTCCATGCGGACGCAGGTGCGATAGGAATTCTCCTCCACGGACGCCAGCCGTTCTCGGAGAATGGAGGCCGGGAGCCCCGGTAGTGCGAGTGTTATGCGGCGCAGCGTGCCGACGGTGGAAGAATCCTGCAGCGTCTCGAGGATGCAGCAAGAGATCAACTTATTTGCACCAAATTCCTTGATGCAGGTGATGTCCTTGAAGGCCCTGGCGGCGACGTACGGTGGGACGCCGAGCACGGCAGACGCCTGACACTCCGAAGACACCACCATTCCCTTGAGCGCAGGGTGAGACGGACCGAACTCGAACGCCAAGCACCACCCCCGCCTCCAATCTCGTGGTAGCGAAAAATAAATAGCGAAAGAGCAAGTGACGCAGCGTTTTCCTGCTCCCCCTCTTATTGGGGTGGGCTTACTCCGTGCATAAGTTTGCAGTATCAGTTACAATTATTCGTCGGCATGCGCTGGGGGCGACCACGGCAGGCACTGACATGAAAAAAAAAAGACAAAAAGACAAAAAAAAAAAGAAAGGTCAAATGAACGCTCCTTGTATCCCACCCCTTCCTCCCATCTTTCTTCATACACACGCCACCGCCGCTAACGGCAACAGCAACAGCAACAACAGACGTAATAACAAACGTGGGAGGCAGCCGCCACCGCACCAAATGCGTCTCGTCGTCTACGTTTGGCATACCTCTTGGCGGCATGCATCAGTTACAAGGAGGGATTCACACGTTTCTCAGAAGCAAGCCAACAGGCGATACTTGCGCACAGACACGTCGAAGAGCCTCTAGCGTTGCCACCGTTTCCCCGCGCTGCAGTGCCGAAACTGCCCGAACGTACCACAGAACAAGGAGCAGAGATGCGCCTGCACCGCTTATATCTTGCGTGTGAAAAGACAGGTTTGCAAAGTGTCCCCACTGATCCTTAAGCTCCTTTGACGCCCCTTTCGTGTCATCTTTGGCAACAGTACGAACAAGCCGACGGCATGCCCAACGAAAACACCTCCATAGTACATATGCTGCACCGGCGCAGATGCACATGCTTTCCTTCAAAGGGTCGACCGAAGCCAAGAGCTCCTCCTCACTCTCTCTCCACTGCACAAAACGAACGATGGTCGGTAATGTATGCAGAAGATTGATCCCCCAATTTGAGAGGAGTTGAAGTGTAAGTAGGACATTCACGTCGGCTCGGCGCAGCATATCGAGATTACTGCTTGGCGACAGCTTGCTTATCGGCAAAGGTACGGAGGGTGTAGCATAAACGCCGGCCTCAATCTTCGGCAGCAGAGGAAGTGTAGTTATGACAGCCAAGGAGAGCGTGCATGAGAGCAATTGGGAGCTCAACACATAACTGATCATTCCCCGAGTCAGGAACAACGGCACGCAGAGACCAGCCATTGTACTCAGCATCACCGTGAGAAAGACACCAAGGGAATCCCACGCAACCCACCCAATCGGCCCAAAGGAGTAGCCAAATGCAAAACAGGATGTAAGCAGGCAGGCAACACGCCCTGTGTTAAGCATCATGGTTTTTGGTAGAAGGAGAAGCAGTGTGGAGGGCACCAAAGCAAGCGCTACCGGAAGAACAATTGGAGCTTTTGGAAACATAAAAAACGTGCCGCTGCCAATGACTGCGAACATTATTCCCAACGAAGATAAAGAATACACGCGTATGAGGTGACGACGTGCAACGGCGTAGCGTCGGGCGTCGCCAAGTGGTTCTGTTTTCGCCTTGATCTTCTCAACCACGCGTTCAATGGTCGTTGCGGTGGACTTAGGAAGCAGCTTCCGGAATAGCCCAAAGCGGTAGCACAAGGCGACTCCGTACCCGCCTACTACCACCCATGAAGCGCCGCGAAGAACCTTAAGCACATTTCCCTCCGTAACTCCTTCGTTGGATACCATCCCGCCTTGCTTTTGCCAATAGTAACAGTATATGTTTGAGGGCCTTTCCTTTGCACCTCTCCTCCTAAAATAATCTCCTTTGGGATCTAAAGCACTGGCAGAAACGGAAGAGTGACCACGGTGAGCCAGGAAAAAAAAATTGGAGATAGAAACGCACTTCTATATATATATATATATATGGAACAAACAAATTCCAGACTCAGAAGACACACATACACAAAAATAAAAAAACAAGACGCACAGGATTAGAAGACTACACATACGGGGCTTCTTTCGCTCTCCCTCCCTGAGTGAGTGAGTGCGTGGGTGGGTGGGGATGGGTGTGGTGGACATGAATGCCTCCCCAAGCTGGAGAGATCTCCACTCCCGATGAGGCACAATGAGGACCGTAGAAAAGACATGAATTGGGAAGGCATGGGTTTATTTTCCGTGTATATTTGCGTTGTTTTCCTACTTGCTTGTTTTATCCCGCCGTTTCTTAGCCCCGTTCGCTCGCCTGGTTCATTTCCGCCTTCCATGCGACAGGGACGCGCAGCCACGCTCCAGCGCCCCCTTTTTCCCACCGGCGAAAGAAAAGAAAAATGGACGAGAAGTCAGCAACAATAAAAACGCCAAAGGCAAAAAGAAACCATAAGGACAAAAAAAAGAAGAGAGTGCGACAAACACGCATACACACACACGCACACAACAGACGGTGTGTCGAACTTCTGCAGAGCCACTTTTATATTAGTGCGTCTTTGTTCTTGCTGCATCCCCGCCCAATAGCAGTGCCAGGGCGATGGCAGACCGACGTCGCGGAAAACTATGCAACCCACGCTTACGTACAGCAAAACATATGTATATATGCAAAAAACACACACACACAAAACAAACAAGGATAAAAAAAGAAAGCGCACATGGAAAAGACACGAACACACAAAAAGGGACAGCAAATACAAAGTTGTCATCTTTCTCGGCTTCCACTCCACACAACACTCCCGCAATAGGCTCTTCGTTCCGCTTTGCTTCAGCTTCAGCTGCAGCCTACCCCCCCCCCCCTCCCCGTTTTCTTCCCACTTGAAATCACGGCTCTCTCTTGCACATCTCTCGCAATGAAATATACACTTGGGCGGGAGGAGCGAGCCGAGTGAAAGGCAGGGCTGCGTCAAGGCAACGAACAGCTTTGCCACGGGAGGCAAGAATAGCAGAGGAGGAAAAGAGCAAATGAACAAAATGAATGAAGGGGCGCACTCCTGTTGGAGCGTCCTTCCCCCTTCTTGGGGTTTTTAGGGAGACAACCATTTAATTTCTGCAATGCAGCACACAGGGTCTCCCATCACATTCACACAGACAGAAAGGTGGAATACAAGAAAGCGTCCGTGTGTGTGTGTGTGTGTGTGTGTGTGTGTGTGTGTGTGTGTGCGTGTGTGTGTGAATG